CCTTTAACTGGAGTTGATCATGATGGCATGAATTTACTAAAGCTTTTGGGACCTTCATTTGCTGACTGGGCGTAATTCAAAAATGAGGAGAAAAAGCTTCAAAACATCCATTAAAATTGGAATATGGAATGTACAAATTATAAATCTAGAAAATTTGGAAATTGTCAAAAATGAATGCATAAAAATCAATATCCTAGGCATTAATGAGCTAAAATGAACTGGTATCAGTCATTTAGAATCTGACAATCATATGGTTTACTATGCCAGAAATGAGGAATTCGAGAAGAAATGTTTAGCAGTCCTTGTCAAAAAAATAAATAATAATTTCAAGATCTATAACTACAGTTCTTGTTGTTGCTGTTGTGAAGTGTCATCGAGTCGGTTCCAACCCATTGCAACCCTGTATAGGGTTTCCAAGGAGCAGTTGGTGAGCTTGAACCACAGACCTTGCAGTTCAAATGACTTTGCAATCTGACGCATTAGCCCACAGCGCCACTCCATAACTACAGTAAAGAGTGGTTAATACCAAAAGTTTTCAAATTTATAACCAACCACTAAAGCCAGTGATGATGAAATTAAAGAATTCTACTAATTTATTTGGTGGGGCTGCAGGATAATGCACTGGACCAGCAAGTTCAGAGGTTCAAATCCACCAGCTGCTCATTGGAAACCCTCTACAGGGTGGCTATGGGTTGGAATCTCGTTGACGGCACTTAACAATGCCAACAAACCTCTTCAGTCTGAAATAGATCAAATATGTAATCATAATGTATTGATAATTACAGGTGATTGTAATGTGTAGGTTGAACACAAAGAGGAAGGATCAATAGTTGCAAAGTGTGACATTGGTGATAAAAATGATGCTGAAGATCCCATAATAAAATATTGCAAGACCAATGACTTATACATTATTAATATCTTTTAAAAACACACACACACACAAAAGGCAATTATACACATGGACCGCATCAGACAGAATACACAGGAGTCAGATTTACTATATCTGTGGGAAGATACAGAGGGGAAGGACCATATCATCAGCCAAAACAAGGCCAGGAGTCAATTGTGGAGCAGACCATATATTGCTCATGTGTAAGTTAGGCTAAAGTTGAAGAAAAGTAAAACCAGTTCATAAGAGCTACAATATAATCTTGAACAAAACTCACTTAAATTTTGAGACCATCTCAAGAACAGATTTGGTACATTATACACAAGTGACTGAAGACCAGAAATCTGTGTATGACATCAAACATGAAGAAAGCAATAGACTATTTAAAAGGCAGGAAATAAAGAAACAAATCAAAATGGATGTCTGAAAAGACTCTGAAGTTTGTTTTCCAGTGTAGCTATGTTGAAGCAAATGGGAAAAATGAGGACATAAAGGGCTGAACAAAAAATCCCAAGGGACAGCTCAAGAAGACAAAGTTAGGTATTATAATGAACTGTACAAAGATCTGGAGTTAGAAAACCAAAAAGGAAGAACACACTTAGTGTTTAAGTTGAAAGAACTGAAGAAAAATCCAAGCTTTGACTTGGAATATTAAAAGATTCT